GACGGGGGGGAGCTCCTAGATAAAAGTGACGGGATGCTTGTTGTCTCGCTTAGGGGAGTAAATCGCAGATTTTAATCACAGTTAAGGTGTTTGGGACGGAAAGTCACTATATTTGCCCATTCACGTATCGCATAGGGCTGTGCATAAAGATGTTGTACAAAAAATGCCATGATGTCTGTTGTAGTATGGTCTCCTTAGGGGTCAGTTAAGCTTGAGCCACATTAATTATTATTATTATTATTATTATTACTATTATTATTATTATTATTATTGAAACAAAAATTAGTGTCTAGTGCACTGTGTGTGCAGGTAACATTGGTCGTTTAGTCTGCCGTATGGTATAGCGGTAGCCTTGAAGCCTGAAGATTTACCTTTGTCTGTTTACTTTGCTGAAGAGTATACCATTACTTTTGTATACTAAAACTCGTCAATAAACCCGTCGTTGTACCGCTGGAAGATCAGAGAAGTTAGATAAGCAGTGAAAGAAACAATCAGACAAATCTGCTTTTTAAGGAGTTAAATATCTCATATAACAAGTTAATTTGGGTACTTTGTAGTATTTTTTCAACGGTTTATCAGTTTGGACTTCCCAACGCTGTTTTCAGCTACCCTCCATTAAGCGACAAGTTGTTGCTTCCCCAAGGTTGGCTACATTGTTGTCCAGTTAGAAACTTAATCGTTTTTGCTTGATGTCGTTTCTTGTACAGTAGCTTCTTGTTTAGCAGCTTGGATGGCAATGTGTTGAATAAAATGATTAAATAAATCATGCTTATTTTGAATCTAAAATTCAAAGTTTTGATTAACTCCCACTTTCAGTTATCAAATTACAGAGAATGGAAACAGCAGCCCTGCTAAGTCTTATGCTAATACTGTGCCTTGATAGTGTTGACTGAATAGTCAAAAACTGTTCTGTGTATGCAGTGACCAAGAAAAAAACTTCCAGGCAACATAGAAGCTTAAAAGACTCCAAATTAAATTGAATGTTTCTAATAAGTGAAGATATGTTTGGAAAATATAATAACATGCACACTAATATTAGATTTTAAAAAATTGGATATTGACATTTTACTTTTAAGCATCATAGAAACACAGAATGTGTACTTTACAACATTTCAATTAAGACACGCATTAATAGCAAAGCGAACTAAATACTCCATTGTAAAACAAAGACACCTGATTTTGGGTCCACCGACGAATCAAAGTAACCTCTCCTTCCCAGAAACTTAAATGTCTGGAGAATACTTCAAAAAATATGGCCATTAATTTTAGCACTTACAGGGTGAATAAGAAATTATGCGTACTTAAAAAAGTCGAGGCATAAGCCATATTCAGGTAATTTTGAACAAAATAATAATAATAATAAATTAATAATGAATTAATAATAATAATAATAAATTTTAAAAAGACGTTTGCCAAAAAGAGTAATGAAACACCGTTTAGTTTTAAAAAATATTACGAAAATTGCGGCTTAATACCCAGTAGGCTAACTGTAGAGCATTTTCACCCACGTGACCAGCATCTATGCAAATTTCTTGGAACAAAAGAAAGTGTTTTTGTAAGAAAAGATTTCAACTCCCACAGTACTTGTTTTGGAACATCAAAATGGCCGCTGTGACGTCATGTGACAACGCTCTATATACGGAACTAAGTGAAACGGAACAAAAGGCCTTAAGAGTGTCACAATAATACAAATTATACGCCAAAATGACGAAAGACCACCTGCCTTCACGCGTAACGGTTTTAATAGCCAAACTTAGACATGTTTAGGTTAGCTGACAGTGTGATATTTAATTGCTCAGTGCAAAACAGACTAATCACCACTAAGTGCGTAGGTTTAGTAAATATAAGACCTCCAGTATTGAAGCCCTACAGTGACGGTAGTCTCCTCGTTAGCTTCAAAAATTGATATATAACTAAGCCTAAAAGCGGAGCTCCTGTTTAATCCTACATTTTCCTGAAACAAGCCTTAAACCATTGCCAAAACAAAAAATTCCCAAGGCTGGCGACTTGATTTTACCTTTATAATAATACTTCCAACAAAGTAGTTAATACATAATAACAAGTAATACACTTGAAAATTTTTTTAAAACACAGGGACATAAAGAAAACAGGAAATGATTCAATTCATAAACTTCTTTTAACGGTGATTTCATAAAACTTTAAAGGATGGAATAGTTTCTTGTACAGAAATTATGAAAAAGCACTCATTTGATTACCCGATGGGAAGTTGAGTTCGTTTTGTACAACAACCGACCTAGACAAAAAGACGAATTTTTTTTTTCTTTCCACGCTCTTTAAATCGCGAAGTGATAAGTTTAATCTCCCTTTTTCACTATTTGCAGTGAAACACCAAGCCATGTTTACTTTTAAAAATTTCAGATTATAAGCACAATGAAAGCAAAGCGAACTAGACTTACTCCAATGCCGAAAAAAGACCATTAAGTTTGGCTTCCGCGACAAAGTATAGTAGTTTTGGAGCATATTGCAAAAAATATGACCATTAACTAGAACGCCTCTGGCATATCCTAAGTAATAAAAGTTTGGGTCGGCATAGCAGCATGGGCACCGTATTGCACAGAGTATTGCGATAAGACAATAAACAGCAGACTACCTATACAGGGAACTAGCCTAGGGGCTTAAAAAGGTTCTCAATAGACAAAAAGACAAAAGAATACCCCCCTTTAGTCAGTGAACGCGGACTGATATAAAAAAAGTAATAAATACTTTTTTAATGGAATTATTCCATTTAATTTTTAGAGAAAACCGAATATTAGCTTAGTTCAATTGAAAAATAGACAGATTATTTAATAAATGAAGCTAATGCTCATCGATCTTCTGATAAAGAAAAGGGTTGTTTATATTAATCACCAAAAACTGCAGGTTATTAAAACACAGTACACTTAGTTGTAAATTCAAATAAAATTGTCAGTAAATGCCTTTAAAACTAAGAAGCACGCTCAGTTTTGTAACCGTTTTATTAATTTGAAGCTGAAATTCAGCAACTTCATAGCAGAATCATGTTATTTGCAAATTAGGATTGTCTTTTATAGTATTTATTACTGCAGAGACTGCATGACTGTTACAAGGAGCAAGGTAATGAACTTGAAAGATATAATCTTAGAATCATTTCCGTCAGCTCATCTTGAACACGTCACAATATGCCAAAATATCAAATCAACGCCCGCCATCAGTCGGCGGAAAGGAAAATAGTAGTAATATAAGCATAAGTTAGTAGTATTTAGACGAATTTTATTTCTCCTTTTATATTTGTACATTATATAAAGGAGACTTGAAAAACAGTGACAACAAGAATAATTACGCTATTACGCGATGTTTTTCATCATCCTCGTCTTATATAGGAGTAATGATCCACTTTAAATTTCAATTATGCCGGACTGCTGGGTATAACAACGCACAAAGCAAAAATCTCGGCGCAAAAATCACAAACCTTATATTCGAAAAAATACCGCGATGGAAATAAATTTAGATCATTTAAATACATATTTTCCAGAACGGGGACGGCAATAAAATGATAGTGGAGAATATTACTGGTTACGAGAAAACGCAAAGCATCAAAGAAAGCCTTTTCTTTGTAGTATCAGTAGCTGGACAGGCAAACGACCATCTTATATTTCTTTCAGTGCTGCATTCTTTTTTGTCTGTTACTGCAGTTGTGGGCAACACTCTGATCCTAATCGCTCTCTACAAGGAATCTTCACTTCATCCGCCGTCCAAACTACTCTATCGTAACCTCGCAGTCACTGATATATGCGTTGGCATTATTCTTGAACCGCTTGCTTTTACGTATTGGATAGCTCATTTGACTGAACGATGGACTGTTTGGCGCTATCCACTCGACTCAAACTTAATCATCAGCTATATTTTATGTAGCGTGTCTTTGCTGACAATGACTGCCATAAGCGTGGACCGACTTCTCGCCTTGATGCTAGGTCTCAGGTACAGACACGTTGTGACTTTGAAAAGAACATATGCATCGATAACCATGTTTTGGGTTGTGTCCATTGTAGGCGCAACGATGTACTTTCT